ACATATTCTCTACAATAAAAGACCAGAAGTCAGAATCTTTAAACAAAATTACATTCAACTTTAACATATTCTCTATTTTAGATATTGTAGTATTAATTATATTATTAAAATATTCTATTGTTTTATAATCACTATGCACTGTTAAAGAAGCTTTATCTATTGGTGGGAATGAATAAAAAATCATTTCTCTCGTCTTCCATCAAGTTTTAGAGAATTCTCTAAATTGGATTTTATAATAGATTCGCTATAATTTATTCAAAATAGAGAACTAAAAGTCAAAATCTCTAAAAACAGTTATATTGAACTCCAATAAATTCTCTATTTTAGAGATTTCAACATTAATTGTATTATTAAAAATATTTTATAAATTTATCACCTCAATAAATTTTCTAATAATAATTTATATAAATAATATTGCAATTTCGGTGAAAAATATTGCCACTACTTCTTCAGTTTAGGAATTACTCCTTTTCGACGAAGGTAATAATAATATTGCAATCAGAGTGAAAAGTATTTGGCAAGTTGTGATTGGATTGCGGCTTATTGTATTTGGAGGATTAGGAATGCTCGAGTTTCAAAGGGGTTGTCTTGAGTACCATACAGGTTTTCAAGACCAGGGCTTTCAACCACTCAGCCATCTCTCCAAAAGATAGGTAGGCCTGGGCAATTGTTTACCAAGAACATAGGTCTCTGCAAAGTCATCTAACATATTCATACCTAACGTTATTTCCACAAAATGGTGACGAAACGTATAACTTCTACAAATCTTTCCATTTTTCATGTTCGGTTTCGAATTAGAGACGTTAAAAATGATGAATCGACGTTCGACTTCGTTGGTAAAATCATTTCTCTCATTGTTTCTAGTCTTCACAGAGTTGATTCTACATTTTGTTCTTTCTTTTTATTCAATTTTGCATTTCAAAAGAAAAATCAACCTCATTGGTGGAAATAAATAAAAAAAATCAACTTATTTTTGCACACATAAGAGATATTTTATTTTACAGAACAATATAAACAATCTCTTTGAGCAAAATAGAGAACATAACCTTCATTTTTTCTATTTTAAAAAATCTGTTAGAGATATCCTTATCATATTTTCTCTATTTTAAAGAACAATATAAAATACTGCTCAAATAAAACCTATATTTTTTATTTTTAAAAATATATTAAAAATACTTTTATAAAATTAAATAATGTATTGTGAGATTTAAGTTCTGTTACTGATTGAATAAATTAATAAAGTGTGAAATTAATTATTCATATTTCCCAGCACCGTGGGTTAATCCCGTGACCGTAAATGAAGCAATGCGTTACATAGGAAAACAAAAATACCTCCTAAAAGTGGTTCACGTGCCACTTAATATTTTTATTTTCAGGTTTTATTTTAAATTTAAAATAAATTATATTTAAATAATACGCTTTATTCAAAGAAACATTTTTTTTTGTACAAGGTTATAATATATTTATTATCTTGCATAAATTATATTATAGATTTGAGATCATGTGAGATACCTGAGACAAGTTTTTTACACTTGAAACTTCATAGCAAAACACTATGAAGGTAACCTTCACAGTGTTTTTGCAGTGAATGTTCGGATTCTTTTCACCAGTGTAAAAAAACTTATCTTATGTGTCTCACGAAAACAGTCTTGTCTCACGTGAACTCATCTTTTATATTATATTTCGTTATTAAAGATATATAACACATTTTAAAAAAATGAAACTATTGAAAAAGCAAGTTTTAAAACAAGAAAGAAAACAAAACAATTATTATTTTAGAGTATCTGTAACATGTTTTTTTGAAGAGAATAATTAAATTAAAAGAATAAATCAAACAGGAATACAAGATGATTAAACAGTAGAAGATTCTGACAGTCTGTAATAAACAGAAACAAACAAGTAAACAAAAATCAAAGAAAAACACGGTTTAAACAAACAAAAAACCTGAAGCAAAGAAACCAACAGCATCGAAAGGAGCCACTTTTGCATCCCTAACTCAAGTAGGAGACAATTCAACCCCAACCCCAACCCCGTATAAGAACAACGCTGCAATAGAGACACTAACAAAAGAACACGCTGACTGCACTACACAAACTAAGCAAAAGCTAGCGGGGTTTACCAAGATTGCAGCATCACCCCGACCATGAGACTATTAAAATTCTTGCACCTGTTGGAGACCCTGGTAAGGACAACAACTGAGTCTCGAACACAAGATCTGTATGTTAAAAAGATAGAACTGACTTTTTTTTCCCACTAATTGTGTTATCATTTCTATATTATATTAAAATAACAAAAACTATTAAAAGTTAAATATTATTTGTTTTTTTCCTTAAAAAATATGAAAAATGTAGATTCTCTTATAATATAAATATAAATTAAATAGGTGAATAAGATGTTTATGATTGTGAAAAAGAAAAAAAACCAATTCACGTGGAATCCTGCATCGTATGTGATGGGACTGTAAGTAAGTGGTGGAAGGCAACTCATAATTCCTTGACTCAAAATTCTCTTGCACATATAATTAAAATTTTATATTATTTTATTATAAATAGTTAAATGTTTTATTATAAATATATATAAAAATACAACCAACCAATTAATCCCCCAATCTTTTTATATCAGAATTCCTACTTTCCTAAAGTAAGATGGCTCCACCCTGCACTCCTTTTATTTGGCTGGATAAAAGAGTCACCTTGACTTATGACTCATGAATTATAATCTGTATATAAAATAATTTAAAGAAAAGTTGATTAATTTATGGTAACTGTAATTATAAAATTTAATATAAATCATTTGTTTGAAATATTTAAAGATATTTTTTAAATAAATTAAAAGAGTAATATAGTGATCATATTTTTGACAATTAAAAATATATAATTAATTTTTTTAAAAGAAAATATTTAATTAAAATTAGTTACCTAGTATATCAACTACCGAATATATATCATATTTTAAAAACGTTTGTGAATTAAAATGTATCATAGTGATAACGTTCACATGTTTCACGTGTATCACAATGTATTTTCTTTGTTTTATGAAATGTAACATAGTGTGCATTTTCGTTATTTTCATTGCTTTACAAAGGATATTATATTATGGATCTTGTATATATATATATATATATATATATACACGTGTGTGTGTGTGTGAGTATCACAGTGAACATTGTTTGTAGGTATCACAGTGTGTATCTTGTGTTCATATAAGGTTCGTCGAATAAGATTCGCAGGAGAGAGGAAAGAGGAGAGATGAGAGAGAATATTTATAAAACCCTAAAATGCCCTCAATTAATATTTTAAGTTAAAATTATCAAAATTATTAATTTCCTAATTTAACCTTCGATTTGTGGTTGAAATTGGATCACACGGTTACCACAAACAAAACAATTCTCATTTGATTAGACCTATATATATATATATATATATGTATATTTACTGTATATAGACTTAATTATTTGAGAACTTTAAAACTTATAAGATTTATGAGAATTTTTACCTTAAAGTTTTGTTTCACATGATTTTTTTCCATGTGAGCATGTTGTTCACTGTATTGGTTAACATAAATTTGTTTCATAATATGGTTGTTTTATATGTATTCGGTTCATAATGTAAAACATTTGATTTTACAAACATGTCAAAAAAAGTTCACATTCCGAGTACATGTGAAATAACACATTGTGAAACCAACATTTGTTAATCAATATTTACACATGATGCACAAGTTCTTAAGATTATTACAACTTAATGGGTTTTCAAAAGAAGACCCCTATATATCTATATGAACATGACCCGTCGTGAACCCAAAACTGTTTAAGAATTAGGGAACCGCTCACAGCGCAACATATAACATGTTCATCAGAAATGTGGACTTATTATTTATACGAATGTTGTAATATATTCATCACAAATATATAATTTATAATAATAACACTTATTCATAAAGAGACATGACACATCATGGAAAATTCTGAGATTCCTAATAATTTTGAGTTTACAACGAAATTTTATTCCACAATTACTGTTTCTGTATTTATTAACTTGTACCAATTGTTGTATCTTTTTATATTTTATATTACTTTGAGCATCTTTATCACTCTCACCCTTTTAAGGCTACCATCCACCATGGGTTTTCTTTTTGTTATTGACACTGGGAAAAGCTTTTCAGCCAAAAAAACCATCCTTTAAACACTCTTCATGGATGATACATTGCTTCCTTTCTACAACTATTCTACCTTTTGAGATATTTGTATATATTTCATCATTTAATAACATATTTTTAAGTAATATATCGTGTTTGTTTTGATTAATATAGCACAAAAAAGTTTTGGGAAGTTGGAACAATATGATTATAGGAACCATTGAACGATGTAAAGTAAAACCAAGTAGATGATGTGTTAGAAAATTGGAAACATTAATTTACCAAACAGAATGCAAATTCGGGTGTAATTGTGGTGTTAGGGTGTACGTTTGTTTTATTTATTATTATTTACGTATGTGGGTATCAAGCAACTTTTGTGTCACTCGACTAATCTTATGAGTTTTTGAAGTTAACAGTCAAACAAACCTCAAGTGGTCCTTATCGGTTAAACTATCCTAGAAGATTCTAACATTTGACTCAAGTGGTCCTTCTCGGTTAAACTATGCCTCGGGTTTCAATCAAAGACAAAGAAGATGGCGATGAACGGTTATAAGAATCAAATGGTTGGGGTTTGCACGGTCGTAAGTTACTTTCTCTAACATATATCAAGATTTGGGTGTCAAAGAATGATGCATAGAGGATACGGAGATGAATCTTCGAATCAAAACCCCATATCCGTACCAGATATGAATAATTTTAGTTAGCTTCTTATTGGTTATTTATCATGTTTTTGATTAAGTTATTGATATTTTTAACATTAAATTTGCATTTAATGAGACAATAAGTTTTTTAGATGAAGCAGTAAGTATTTTTTTTGTCATTTTCTTCACCTTGATTCTTGTTTCTGCATTTCCCCCTGTTTGATGGAAAATGCAATCAACAAGAGAAGGAAAGAAAGCAAACAAGTAGAGACAAACTCACTTCTTTTACTCTCCCTTTCCCTACACTCCTCAAACAATGTGCGCCCTAGCTAAACCCTTCCACCACCACCAACTCCGCCACCACCACCACCACCAACTCCGCCACCACCATCACCACCTATTGTCTATCTTTTTTTTACTCACGGTCTCACTCCCAACCATAATCTCCGCCGCAGACCCAACGCCGGTGGAAGTACTTCTTCCTTCCGACGCCGTCGCCCTCCTCAAATTCAAGTTAAAAGCCGACATTGGAAACAAGCTTCTCTACAATCTGAACGAACGGTTCGACTACTGTCAATGGCAAGGGGTGAAGTGTGTTCAAGGTCGAGTGGTTCGTTTCGTCCTCCAAGGCTGTGGCCTCAGTGGTATCTTCGCCGACAATACCTTGGCCAGACTGGACCAGCTACGTGTCCTCAGCCTCCGCAACAACTCACTCTCCGGCGCCATTCCCGACCTCTCCGCCCTCACAAACCTCAAAACCCTCTTTCTCGACCACAACACTTTCTCCGGCACCTTTCCTCTGCCGTTGGTCACGCTTCACCGTCTCCGGTCAATTGATCTCGCTCGGAATAACTTCTCCGGTTCACTACCTAGTGAGCTGAACTCTTTAGACCGGCTGAACTACCTGCGGCTAGAATGGAACCGGTTCACCGGCGAACTTCCGCCTCTCAACCAAACCGCTCTCGAAGTGTTTAACGTCACCGGAAATAACCTCACCGGATCGATTCCGGTCACGCCTGCTCTCTCGAGATTCGACGCTTCATCCTACTTGTTAAACCCTGGTCTCTGCGGGAAGATTCTTAACAAAATATGCACTACAAAGCCTCCGTTCTTCGACACTCCTTCCGGCGTTTCGGCTCCGGCGCCGGTACTGCAAAACGCAGAGTCACAAGGTCTCATTGTTTCTCCGCCATCTACAAAGAGGCACAAGAGACTCGGCGTAATCCTAGGGTTTATTATAGGATTCCTACTCATTATAGCGCTTGTTCTGTCCCTTTTCGCCATTTTAAACAAACGAAGGTATCAACATCCATCAAAATCAGCTGCGTTCAGCTCAGATTCAGAGAATGAAATTGAAAACGAAAAGGAAAACGGAAACGAAAACGGAAACGGAATCGGAATCGGAAACGGAACAGTTGTTGCAATTTCAACAAACAACACGCCGGTGCGAATTGCTAACACAGTAGTTGAAATCAAAGAGAAGAAACTGCAATTACCTCAACAACACCGAGAGAAAAGCGGAAATTTGATCTTCTGTGAAGGCGAGACAGCAATGTACAATCTGGAACAACTTATGTCAGCATCGGCGGAGTTGTTAGGCAGAGGAACCATTGGAACAACTTACAAGGCAGTCATGGATAACCAGCTGATCGTGACGGTGAAGAGGCTGGACGCCGGGAAGACGGCGATAACTTCCGGCGAAGCTTTCGAGAAGCATTTGGAGGCGGTGGGAGGACTCCGACATCCGAATTTGATTCCGGTTAGGGCTTATTTTCAGGCGAAACAAGAGAGACTGGTCATCTATGATTATCAACCCAACGGCAGTCTCTTCAATCTAATCCATGGTGAGTTTCTGAACTCGGTGCTTAATCGTGTTTTAATTTGTTTGAGTTGACTCGGTGAGTTTGAATGGGTTAAAGCGGAGCGTGTTCGTGTGTGTGTGTGCATTATTGGGAAAGCAGTGGCATGAGCTCCCTGTTTCCTCCACTGGTTTGACTATTCAGTGTTTTGATTAGTAAGCATGAAGTCATCATGGTGATGAAATACTTTGAAACAAATATCCGTGAGATTTTAGGAGTTTGTAAAATAGTCATTTTTGACCCTTTAATTCACTTTATAGCTGGCTTTTTTACATAACTGACTCGTAAGTAATAATATCATCCTTAGCACTTTAACAACTTGTTAAATCTATTTTTTATGAATTTAATATTTATGAGATAAAATTGTAGTAAGTTGTTAAAGTACTACTTGCTAAATGCTGATATGAAGGTGTCGGATGCACCTTGCTAAAATGCTATGCGGAAGACCGGTGAGATTTTAGGAGTTTGTAAAATGGCTATTTTTGACCCTTCAATTCACTTTATAGTCGTTTTTTACATACTTGACCGATAATTTCGTAGGTGGCAGTTTAGCAACTTCTTAAATTTACTTTTTATGAATTTAATAATTAGAAAGTAACACTTTAGAAAGTTGCTAAATTGAATGATCCACAAAGAAGAGCCACATAGCTCAATCGGGCGGTGTGTACAAGGCACGAGAACGGATTCAATCATAGGTTCTCCTCTCTCTATCGGAACAATAGGGCCGTTATGCATACTTGCACTGCTGATGTGAAAGTGTCAATTATGCATGTTGCTAAAGTGCTACTGGCTAAATGTGCTAAATGTTGACGTGGAAATGCCAATTATGCAACTTGCTAAAATGCTAATTGCTAAAGAGCTAGAGTGGATTAAGCTAGTTGATTGCTTGTAGGACCTCCGTATGAGAACTATTGTGTTGATTTGATTTTTTTAGTTCATTCTAAGTTTTATTTAAATGTTATCATTTAAACTATACGCAAGTTCGTATGAGCATAGACTTATACAAGTCGAGCCAAGATTCGAGCTTTTAGCAAGTTAAGTTCCAAGATATAGTTTCCTTTTTGGAGCTAGGCTTAGCCACTAACCGAGCAAGCGTACGCTTGACTCGAATTCACTGTGCTTTTGCCCTCAATTTGGCAAGATGCCGCACTCTTTGTACCCTTAAAATTTAGGAAGTCGAGCGTATTATGTTAATTTTGAAGATATTTTTCTTGGAAGGGTGTCCCAGGCTATGTCTGAACTTATCCTGGCAAATTATGACCGCAAGAAATCAGCCCTGATAAACTCGGTGGCCACAATTGTTGTGTATTCCTGAAATTGAAATCGAACCCTGGGCAGATGGGATATTCCACCACATCCTCCAGACCTCAAACACTACGTCACAACTCTTGTGGTTAATTTTGAAGATATTGCCGGTTATAAGATTCCTATAGATGTTGGCAATTGGCATTTAGGGTAGGGTGCCTTTGGTACTTGAGACAAGACAAGACAGGACAAATACTTATCCTATGTTTGGTTCGACATTTAGACTGGGACAGGACAGAAGCCAATGTCCCACAAAAATAGATGGAACAAAATCAGTGTGGATAAGATTTGTAAAGTACAAACTACCCTTATCAAATTAAAAGCCATAAAATCCTATACGATTCTTTTACTCGCTATTCACTCTCGCCTGTTCAGTCCAGTACCGTCTGCCTACCAAACACACTCTAATTTTTGAACGTTGGGTGCGATCATACCAACACTAATGCATCGGATCCCATCAGAACTCTGCAGTTAAGTTTTGAACGCTATCTTTATGCAATTCATGTTTCTGAAGTTATTGTTACAACCTATAAAGTCAAAAATGTATCTTTAATGACACTATGTTAACAGGATCAAGATCAACAAGGGCAAAGCCACTTCACTGGACATCCTGCTTGAAAATAGCTGAAGATATAGCTCTGGGCCTTGCTTACATCCACCAAGCTTCAAGACTCATCCACAACAACCTTAAATCGTCCAACGTCCTTCTCGGTCCCGATTTCGAGGCCTGTCTTACCGACTACTGCCTCTTGTTCCTTGCGGACCCCACTGCGATCGACGACTCCGTTTCCACGGGCTATAAAGCCCCGGAATTGAGAAAATCATTCCACCGAGCCACCACCAAATCCGACGTCTATGCCTTTGGAGTTCTCTTGTTGGAGCTTCTATCGGGTCGGCCGCCTTCCCAACACCCGCACCTCGTCCCCGAGGATATGGCGGAGTGGGTGAGAGCAATGAGGGAAAACGACGATATTCCGAACGATAATCGGCTAGGAATGCTGGTTGAGGTGGCGGGTGTTTGTAGCTTGACGTCACCGGAACAGCGACCTGTAATGAGGCAAGTGTTGAAGATGTTGCAAGAGATCAAGGAGACGGCTAGTATCGATAATGATAACACGTATAATGGATACTCATAGGTAAGAAATACGAGAAACTTGTATTGTCAATTATGGTATCAAGTGGGAGATCAAAGTCACGGAGCGGTATCGAGATTGAAATTTGCAGGGGCGAGGGTCATGTTTTTGTATGATCTGGTGTTCGATCAGAAGGTGATCGATGCGGGTTTCTCGTGAATTTGTTCATCGATCAATATATGATGTTGTAAAGATTAAGTACTGAAATTTGAAAATCCAACAGATGCATATGCTATTGCTATGGTTATGGAAATTACCCACACTTCTCTTGTTATCTTTAATCTTCTGTTGTTGGTGGTCATAAATCAAACTGAAACCAGATTACTGATTTATTATGTTATATACTGTAAACAGATTTATTATTTGAACAGAAAACCAACTGATTATAAACGCTAATAGATTGATGAATACTCTAATAGGGTTGGGTTTTGATGAGAAGGAGAGTTAAGTTGAGAAATATAAGAAGGGGTTTATACTTTTGATGCATATTAGGATGAGATGTATAGAGATGTACCGGATCGATCTATGTATCAAGTGCGATTTATGGGTGGATTTGAGATTAAAGGTGATGAAGGGTCCAGATTCCTTCTTACATTTCTCACTTTTACTCTCCTTCTTACACGATCCTTTGCGTACCTAATAAAGGCGATTTTCTAACTGTGGTTAAGGGAACAACTATCTAATTGAATTCCAACTACTACTGCATCATTGAAAGAAAACCAGAAAAATTGGAGGGAAGAACATTATGTTGTATCATAAAATGAGGGTTTTATACATAGACTAAATATCGTGTGATAATAAGAGCTAAGATGAGAAGTGTAAGAAGAGATTTGGATTTTTGATCACTAATCTCCAAAACAATCCACAAATTGCTCCTTAAAAGGAAATTGATCTGATGTATGTCATTAGTGTTGATTTAGTAGTTCTCTTCAATTACGATTGATCCAAGGGTGGAGTCCCTTCTTATCGTTATCACCATAACTTTGGATTCTCTGCCCTTACGGGGATGGAGCAACAAAAGTTATTGATAGTTGCATTACTTATAGCTTCCTTGTTCGATTTATTCTCACCAGAACTCAACCCTTTATACCTATCTATCAATTGTTTACCAAACGCTTACCAGATAAATACTTACCGAGTGTCGCTCACCTTACTGGGCGAGTATGACAAGGACCTATAATCTTACCAGAGACATGATAAAGATCGAGAATCTTACCTAGTGAAAGAGGACACCCTTGCCCAGCAAGTGCTTATGGGGTAAAGACGCCAACACTCAATTTTGATAACCGAGAATGTTACCCGATAAAATAAGTGAGGTCGGTGACTGTTATTGATAAATGCTTATCTTGTAAGCGTTTTAGTAAACGGTGTCAATTTTGGGATTAATAAATATCAATCCAAAAGAAATTAAAATGAAAATAAATTTTGGATTCAATAGAGCCGTAGTCCAATGCCCCTATTTTGACCCACTAAATACGTATATGTTACCATTTGAGCCTCTTTAATAAAAGATGACCATAAAGATACATAAACTTAACAAAGGGCTTTTGTCCTAGTAGTATCGTAGTCCTTGTCTCCTAGGAGGTCAGGGGTTTAAGACTCACCAAATATGAAGAGAATGTATGAGTTTAATTGTTGCATTTACAATATATTAATATTATATACTTAAAAATATATATATAAACTCAATTCATTTTCTATTATTTTCTTTCAAATAGATCAGTCCCACAAAGTTCATTTCATCACATATTTGTGATAAATGGAAACATACATTTGTTGGATTCCCATTTCTTCTATGGAATCAATTGAAATGATCCTAAATCTGCTATAAAAACCTTAACCTAATGCAAAGAAAATCCTAACTACAGAAAATTTCTACCAAAAAGATTAACAAATCAGACTTCTTAATAAGCTATACCTTTTTTTTCTCTTTTGATCCTACTCCTAATAATCTCCCTTAATTCTATGATTTGTGGGCTTTTAACTTTTATCTTTATCTGCACTTCTTCACCATAAAACCTTCAACAAGATTGAATGTCCCATGAGATGATATCATTGGTAAATCCTCATCCCTTGCTGTTTTAAGGATATCCGCCTATCGGAATATGAACATATTATGATAATTAACCTTAATTTGATGATTACATGTGGAATATATTATATAACAAGTCAATTAGATTTGTTAAAATCGGAAACGATTTCACATATGTTGTCTCTTTTTAACAAATCTATTGATTTGTTTGATCATGTGACAGCTATTTCATTCCACTAGGATAAAATGGGCTTTTTAGAACGAGTTGTCGTTATTGGACCACCTAATAGAGTACTTAGCAAGACTTAAGTTTAGGAGACCTAACAAGAATTATCGATGAAGTTGGACAATCTAATAGTACACCAAATATGAGGAGTGTGTGTGTGTGTCAAATTGCCGTATCCTAAATACTATATACTTCAAAAAATGGTATTATTAGAGCATCTCTAACAATTTTCCAAAACTGAGAAAATGGGGACTTTAAACAATTTTTGCTCCAATAAATTCTCTAAAACTTTCTTCAAAATTGGGAAAATAGGAGAAGAGGGTGTCAAATTCTCCATTTTGGGGATTTCTCCAAAAATGAATACAGAGAAACCCTTTTTTTATTATAATGCACCAATAAGAGTTCTTGAAATTAAATGTGTAGGAAAGAGAATTAATATTTTATTAGATGTAGAATATTTTAATAACACAATTCATGTTGTAATCTCTAAAATAGAGAATCTGTTGAAGTTGAATGTAATTGTTTTGGAGATTTTGAGTTTTGATTCTCTATTTTAGAGAAATTTGACAATATGCCGGAGATGCTCTTGGTCTTTTTATAGGATTACTTTTGGAAAGTATTCTATTAGCTTTTTAAAGGCTAAAAAAGACGATATATTTCTCGTGTCCTATTAGATTATCTGAATTCATCGATAAAACTTGTTAGGTGCCTAACTTCGTTCTGGCAGTATATCGTAATGGCATTTTATAGGATGTTAAGTCCCGTTAAGCATTCTATTAGGATGCCTAAGGATGGTTCTAAAAGACCTATTTTGTGTTAGTGTTTGATATATTTTGAAAATCTAGACTTGTGAATGAGAAATGAAGGAAGAAAGGTAACCTTGAAGGCTGCAATAACTTGCTCTGTTGGGATGTTGTAATTGGATTGGAACCCAGCAAGTGAAGGTTGAAAGAAGACACAAGGTTGTGAGATTAGATCATGTGGTCGGATCAAGCTTGATAGACAGATCTTTTAATGTCTCATCACTGTTTCTGATCTCATCGCCGATTCTGATTAGTTGCGAGAGCTTCCATGGTTTTTGCCACTTCCACTTGAACTGTATCAGCCATTCGTCGTGGCTTCGCCTCCATCTCGACACTTTCCCTTTCTGTTCACCAAGTGGCAACTTTTTCATACACACGTGCGCAATTGGTACCATCTGAACCAACAAAGGATTAGAAGATTAATGAAGTCTAATGGCATCTTCAACGAACACTACCAACACAAATCGGTCTGGGTCAGCAGCCCTAATCACTTACCGGTTCAGCACTAATCCCTTAGCCTACCAGGTCAACATCGTGGACCGGTAAGAGGAGTTGGTAAACAGCAGCATATCTGACCGGGTAAGCGCCTCTTACCCGATAAGAGGTGGTAAGCAAGTAGTAAACAGTAAGGGTCGTTTATCAAACGGTAAGCGCTTACCAAGTTATATTACCTTAACCAATGAATATGCAAGGACCAAGAAGTTTACCCGGTAAGAGCGAAGATAATGACCGAGAGTCTTACCGGTAAGTGAGGGCGACGGCTCTTACCCGGTTAGTGCTTACCAGGCGAATTTTTTTGCATATGATGCCGTTTCAATGGACTAAAATCTTATCCGCTAAGGTAAGTGATAAATGTAAAATTTAACCGGTAAGCACTTACCGGGTAAGTGTTTGGGTAAACGGCTAAATCTTACACCAAAACTATTTTTCACATCAAGTTTTTCACCACAACGGTGTAATCAATAGTAGAACATCAAATAGAACACCCAATTTTATTAATACTATTCATTTATACCATTTTTTGTTTGGTTTTGGTGTGATAAAAGCATAATATATTTAGAATATCATGTTTTGCGTTAAAAACGGTGTAATATGTTGAAGATGAATTACCATTTTCACCAAAAATTACACAATTCTAAAGCAAAAAAATGATGTTGATGGTCGAAGATGGTATAAGACTAAAGATTTATGTAGGATAAGGCTCAAATTGTCAGGATAGATCTAGTTGAAAGATAGGTTATATAGTGATCCGGTTTTGAAATCAGCTTTTGTGTCTTCTAAGTCCCCTTTTTTTGGATGCTGCTATATGCACCCCTATGTTTGTGAGAATCAAAATGCAAAAATTACGTCTTCATGTTGATGTGTGTGAGAAGAAAATTAGTAGGTAGGAGTGCATTTAGCAATATATAGGGATGCATTTAGCCTACCCCATTTGTATTTATGACATGAGACTAAACTAGGAAAAGGTCCGACAAACTTGACATTTGTCGGAAACGTATGACAGCACTTCCTGTGGGAATCCAAACAAATGAGCACCTTTTGTGTTTGTATAAAAACTTCTTGGATTGGCCTATTGCAGATTCCAGCTTTAGAGTCGAGTTGCCTCGATTCTGGGAATGGCAATGGAGATTCGATACCCAAATCCGCAAAAATATCAAACGGAGTTGGAGCCTTTGCCTGTTATGACCATTTAATAATAAAAAATAATGAGAAATTCGAATTGGTTAGCCTAAAGCAATAACCAAACCAAACAAACTTAGTAAATCTCTTAGGTAGGGTATGGGGTTAAACGTAGGAGAATTTGTTTTCACGAAGACCCCCAACTTGCAAAACAAAATTTTAAAGAAACAAACAAACAAGCTACGTGGGCAAACAAACAACATGAAGAATAAGCAGAAAATGCAGCAACAAGAAGAAAATAGTTTGAGTGCCACTGGCTCAAGGCCTATGACCTGACAAGGGGGGGAAACCGATAACCAGCTAAGCTAGTGTCATGGCCCGCATTATGTTCTGCCCCCCAACGAGAGGTTCCTACATATAAACTACAAGGTTGATGTTCCGAATCAAGCGGATGTGGGGCTCCAACAGTGGCTGACAAAAAAAGAATGAACATATTATCTTACCTTTACAGAAGGATTTGAAGCAATTGTAACAGCTTGCCACTCCATTTCTTTTGATTCCTCTGCAGGCGGATTTTCCTTTGTATTTTCCTTTTCCTTTGTATCTTCCTTTTCCTTTGTATCCTTTGTATTTTCCTTTTCTCTTGTGTCCTTTGTATTTTCCTTATCCTTTGTATCCTTTGTATTTTCCTTTTCCCTTGTATCCTTTG